AGGTTGAAAGAATAAAAAAAAAGGGTACTTATTATCTAGAGAAAAACTTCAAATTGCTTAGCTGCAATGGGATCGAGGTGTCCTTGTGCACAAGTTGCAGAAAGCTAGTATGCAGGTACAGCAGGTAATAAGAAAGGAATTTTGACACTTATTGCTAAAGGAATGGAATATAAAAGCAGGGAAGTGCTGTTGCAATTGCAAAAGGTATTGGCGCAACCACATCTGGAGTAGTGTACAGTTTTAGTCCCTTTACTTGAAGGATGCAATTGCATTGGAGACAGTTTAAAGAGCGTTCATTAGATTAATTACAGAGATGAAAGGTTTGTTTTAAGAAAATAAGCACTTAAGACCTAACTCGGAGTTCAGAAGGATGAGATCTAATTTAAGTAGACTAGGTACTAAAGGGGATTGACAGATGTTTCACTGTGGGGAAATCTAGAACGAGGGGTCATAGTTTTAGGCTAAGGGATGGCAGATTTAACGCAGGTGAGGAAGAATTCTTTCAAAGGATCACAAATCCATGGAATTCAATACATGCAGTGGACATTGAACAAATGAGATGGATAGATTTTTAATTACTAATGGATTAAAGGGTTATGGGAAGCAGGCAGGAAAGTGAGTCAAGTCTGAAGTGAGATCAGCCACCATCATCTTAAACGGCAGAGCAGGCTTGAGGGGCTGAATTGTCTACTCACAATCCTAGTTATGTTCTTACTTACTTCCTTATTTTTGGGTTGTGGGCAGTACATATTCCTAAATGCTCTGAAATGGTGGTAGTGGACGTTGATTTGTTTCAGTTAATGTGAAGGCATTCCCACAATCCCAGGATTTTGACCCTTTGAACATGCATTCCCACGTCAGTAATACACAACATTTGGAAGCAACTGTGATCCCATACTCATTCTGTGTCATTACGCAATTGAGAAGCTGCTGACTTTGCAAAGTAGCAAATGCAGCTTGTAGATGAAAGATAGTGCAGCCAAAGCATACCAGTGCAAGTTTGCCACAGTAGGAAAGTAGAGATTCTCTTTTGCGGTAATACCATAAGCTTATAAGATACCAGAGCAGAATTAAGCCATTCAGCCCATCAAATCTGCTGCATCATTTAATTGTGGCCAATAGGTTTCTCAACCTCATTCTCCTGCCTTCTCCCCGTTGCCATTGATCCACTTACCATTCAAGAATCTATTTCTGTATTAAATACACTCAATGACATGCGCTCCAGAGCCTGTTGTGGCAACAGGTTCTACAGATTAACCACCCCCTGGCTGAAGAAATTCCTCAACTATTTCTAAAAGATTATCCCTTCACTAAGGCTGTGCCCTTCCCCACATTCACTCTACCCAGGCCCCTCAATATTCTGTAAGATTCAATCGTTCTTAGTATGACAAATTCTCTGTAGGGTTGACCTATACCTGCTTATACCAAAGTGGCCATGTTTGAAAGACACAGAATGGCCGACAAGAACTAAACAAAATGGAGCAGTCTGCTCTAACGTTTAAAGCGAATCATAATAGCACCTTGGAACAGAGTTACCGAAGGTCATACAAAGGGCCTGCAACCCATCATCTGAGACAGTTTTGATAAGAGCATGCCTAAGAACAGAAATGACTGTAGTCTTATTATTGAAAGGATGTTGTCCCACTAAAGACGCAGCACCAGGGGTGTAAATCTTAGCTCATCAATATATCAGATCAACTCCCTAAACAGCTAAAAATATTTCATAGTAATTAGCTTTTTACCTACAGGATTAAGAAATAGGCTCCAGTTAAAGAGTTATTCAGATAATCACAGAACTAGTTTTCAACACATAACCAGAATATAATACAAGCAGTATGGGAAAAAGCCTTTAAACCCAGAAGTGAAAGTTAATTAGCTTTAGGACACACCTTATCTTACGCTCTGAACAAGATAGTTTGGTCTATCTCATTAGTTACAAAGTGCTGCTAGCAGTAAAAATGGCTGTATAAAACTTTACACTATAGAACTAACCTTAAACAGGAATTAATCATATCCCAATTAAGACTGTCTGTTTATATATGTATAATCAGGACAGTGGGAAATATAAAAGGAATGATTAAATTTGATAAAAGCAGCATACACAATACCATAAATAACAGAATTCAAACAGCCCTCAGAGATAAAGTCTAGGACAGACCTGAAGAAGTCTATAAAATGTATAAAAATGCTGTACCTCTTTGCAAAAATCAGTGCGTCATTGGTCTCCCTTCTGATTCGGAGAAGATTCCTTTAACCCTCTCCCTGCATGAACTGAGTTTTGCTTGAATAAACATCTTCCACTTGCCTGAATCCTGTCTGCCTCCTGAGTTTTTGTCCCCAGTCAGGGGTACGCTGCTACACACTTCATCCCCGGGATCATTCTTGTTAATCCCTTTCTGGTCACCCTCCAACACCAGCACGTCCTTGCTTGGATACGGGGCCCAAAACCGTTCACTATTTCAAATGCAGTCTAACTAGAACCTCATACACTCAGCAGTACATCTCTGCTCTTGTATTCTAGCCCTCTTGAAAGGAATGCTAACGTTGCTTTGGCTTCCAAACTGCCAGCTGAACCTGCATGTTAACCCTAAGAGCACCTTTAACTTGGGCTCCCAAGTCCCTTTGTTCTTCAGATTTCTGAAGCCTTTATCCATTTAGAAAATAGTCTATGCCTCTATTTGTCCGACCGAAGTACATAATCTCTTATTTTCCCATATAGTATTCCATCTGCCATTTCTTTGCCCACTTGGAACCTGTACTAAGTCCTTTGCAGCCTCACTGCTTCCTCAACACTACCTCCCGCTATCTTTGTCATCTGCAAACTTAGCAACAGTATCCTCAGTTCCTTCATCCAGATTGTTAATGAAAATAGGAGCCCTGCAGAACTCCACTAGTTACCGGCTGCCATCCTGAAAAAGACCTTAATATTCCCACTCTGCTTTCTGACTGTCAGCCAATCCGCTATCCATGCCAGTACCTTACGCCTAACACCATGGGATCTTATTTTATTTAACAGCCTTCAGTGCAGCACCTCGTCAAAGGCCTTCTGGAAATCCAAGTAGATCACACCACAGGCTCTCCGTTATCTAACTTACTCGTTACGTCAATACATCCAAGAAAAGCATTTCATTCACTTTTGTTTAGTAGATGTAAAAGAAAATGCTTTCTGGAAATAATGTTTTGGGGAGGAAAGCGAGCCGTTTACAACTGAACAGCTAAAATAACTACTGCAGATACGAGACTTGCAGAGTGTTGAAAGTTGAAACTGTCTGCAGCATTGGGCAACAGGAGAAAATGGATAGGCTCCTGTTTGAAGTGAAGTGGATTTACAGAATTTAAGTAACTTGCAGTTTTGGAAAAATGATTACTTTGTTATTTGCCCTTTCAGACCATTTAATGTTGGCACTTGGGTTAGAGGAAAACTGTCAACTTCAGTGTGGAAGCTACATAAAGAATAGACGTCACCAATGCAAACTTGTGACTTGTACAAACTGTACTAAAAATGAACCTAACCTGTATTAAGATTTATTATAGGGTTTTTTGTGATAAACAGTTTTGAAGCTATGCTAGATCTGCTCGTTTCAAATATTGATACTGATCTCTATTTATAACTAGGGAAAAACTGCAGTTGAGATGACAGACACACGATTTCTTAAATAGCTGAAACCTCCAAACTATCTCAAAACAGATTTCAGAAAATTCAAACCTACTGAATTGTCCAAAATGTGCATTGCCAATTCACTATTCCTCTGCTGCTGCCTGATCTGTGTTCCTCCAGCTCCACACTGTACTGACTCTGACTTCCAGCACCTGCAGTTCTTGCTATCTCCTAATCTGTTAGTTTATCCTGTTTGAATTTATGGGGCTAATTTTATCCAATTTCAATGGTTAAAAAAACATGTATATAGTTCTGATTTAGGATTTAACATTAGATATATGCCAATTAATAGCAAAATGGATTTAAAGGTTACCTGACCCTAAAACTCCTGTAGTACACATACATGCAACCCATCAAGACAAAACCCTGGACAACTCGGTCATGAGCAATGCTATCTGTGACACCCTCAAAATACAACGATTTCACCAGTGGCATGTGTGGGAGCACTTCAGTGATCCAAGAAAAATAAATCCACTGCAATCAAGTCAAAATAGAAATAATGTTGTGCACCAGATTCAAACCTTTACAATGCTCACTTGATCCATGTGTAATGTATTCTCAAAACATTGAAGTACATTAATGATCGGTGGGAAAATACATCTGATGCCAGTGTATAAAACTCATGATTTGTCGTGTGTATGAGTGATAATGTAATGTATTTACAGATGTACACATTTTTATACATTCAGCTCTTAGAAGTATATTCTTTTCATAAAATTATCAAGGCACCATTAATTCAAAACCGCTGAAAAACTCAGCAAATAATTTTTCCAATTGTATACTTTTTCCACTGCTACTCTTCCACCTCTGATCTTTACACCCAAGTGCCAGAAATCATAAGGTACACACAATTCATGTAATATTTGGAACCGAAAGAATTCAGTTACCAAGTCCCATGTGGTAACAAAGGATGAAATAACATGATGTTGAAATTCTAGTTGATGCAGAAGCATCCAAGGTGATGCTGTAAATATTTCAGATTGCACAGACTGACCAGAAAGAGGTAATCTACGACAAATTTAAGTGACTATTTGGATCTGGCTAGCCAGCAGTAAAGATAAGGCACTTCTCCACACAGAAGGAAACAATCAGAAATCAAAATACAATGAAATCCTGTTTTCCACCCTTACTGGTGCCTGGCTTGAGTAGCTTTGCAAAAGCCTGGGAATCAATTTGAACAGTACAACCAAACAAAAAATAACAATCTTAAAATAAATTCAGAAATGTAATGCAAAGTGGTACCTACATTTCAAAATTTTAAAACTTGGTCTACAGTATTGAACAAAGTGATAGTTTTCTCCTCTGTCTCATGTGTGTCTCCAAAGAATCACAGTGCAACCAGTTATATTTTGTACGTTTTTATATGCATTTTTATAAAAGTCAAGAAGATTGCCACAAATTACACACGCTAATGCTAGATGTGCACAATTATTTCATTAGATGAAAAAAATTAGGGTAAATATTCTAAACTGATTACTTTAAATGGTATATACAATCTTTCATCCAAGTATTTTACAGTTGCTTCGTTCAGCTGGGTTTAAGCCTGGATTACACATTAAGGTATGATATGCATGCTATTTCAGCAAATTAAATCATGTACAGCTGCAGCATATTTATAATGGTAGTTATGTGGATTCCACACTGCTACTGTCCATTCTAGCCCTCTGATTACCAGCAGAAATTAATGTATACTGCCCAGACTTTCTTACATTCAAGTCTGAACATATAGGAAGACCAATAGATTGTTTTCACTGGTTGCATTAGGATGCTATATACTTAAATACAATAAATGCATTTGATTTTGAAGATTTTCCAGTAATTTTCACAAATGTGAATAAAACCCTTCAAGACAAACCAGCAACCCACCCCTCTTGCTAAGTATAATTTAAAATAAATGACACTGTCTTAATAATTACTAAGAGCAAAATTAAACAAAACCACTTCAGCAAATGAGCACTTAAGTTTTTTTGTAAATTTTCCACAAAAATTAACATTTTACAACAGTATAATGGCATTAAAAAAATTACAAATCGATTGTAGTGCTTCACTGAAAGCACACTATAAGCATAAAATAAATGAGATAAAACCAAACCTCCAGTACCTCCTGAAGTGAGAAAAATCTTATTTTATCTTCATCTGCATAAAAAGATGCAGTAGATAATTTAAGCAGTGCAAGATATTAGTGATTCAGAAGACCATTTTTTAAAAAGCTGCACAATCTCCTTTAGTTATACTTTCATTCAAGCCCAAACCATCTGAGCCATTCTGTAACAATTTCCGCTAAATTTGTCAATAACTGTAACCAACTGCTTTAAACCTAAAACACACTGCATCCAGGATGATGCACAACCATTTTCAACACACTGTTAATTAGTTAAATTATTCATTGAATTACGTTGCAACCCTGGTTATACCATCTTGGATGTAGTAGATTTTCCTTCCAGATTTTATTCTCCCTACCCAAGCAATTTCAATTGTACACTTCCCAGAAATAAATTTATGTACTCTGATAAAGACATATATAATTAATAACAATAGGAGGAACTGGCTGCAAAAGCACTATGGTAATGGACTAAAAAATAATTTTTCTTCTTTAAGAAGTATGAGAATCCTCATTGAAATGTAAGGCATCCCAAATTCAAATGTGTAATTTTTGCATATTGTGCAGGAATGCGTTTCTGTAAACAGTAGTTCAAGGTAATCTTGAAAATCAAAATGAGGGGTGTGACAAATTGATTAGATTCTAAATTCCCCTTCTCCAAAACAGCTGGCTGAAAGCTCAAAACTTGGACTTAGTTTTACCCCACCCCAAAACTGAAAGTAATATGAATATTTTCAAGTTTTTTTTCTTTCATTGAGGCTGAGTCTAAAAAACTGGACAAGGTCCTTGAGCTTAAAATACTGATGCGATTTGTATAAGCAAGGAGAAGTGATGCAGAAAGTCTATTTCTCAGGGGTTTCAGGTTCAGTGGTAGTCATGGCAACAGTATTCTGGCTCCTATTGTCCTCAGATTTCCCAGATGATGCATCCCATTTGGAAGGGTTTGTTGAAACCTGAGGCTTATTGGTGAGGGAGGGCTTAGCAGCATTTACTGGTTTACTAGAAGAGGTGTTTGATTGATGTCTTCTGCGACTACTGTCATCAGCTCCAGAAGAACGTCTCTTTCTACCAACCTCATCACCAAACGGGGGCTAATAAAATGGAAAGTTTAAGAACATTTTAAGCAACAAAATAGGATCAGAAGTATAATTACATTATGCACTAGAAAATAAAGCTCAGAACATTTGAGTAAAATAATTATCTTTAAATGCTGAAGCATGTAAGCAGAATATTTGAAAGCAGATTAATAGCTTCAAGATAGTAGTGGATATGTACTAACCAGACTTGAATAAAACACAATCATTTCTGGCTGAACATCAGGCTTAAACAATCAGATTAGCATAAACAGTTTGCAGAATTTCCCAGTTTGATGTAATAGAGACTATTGATTGATCCAGTCGTCAGAAATGGACTGGGATAGGGCGGCTGAAGCAGTTAATTGTATTTGTGTGGAACCTCAAGTACTTCACATTAAGTGAGTTACGTAGTTGATGGCAGGGCTGCTGGTTATACTACATGTAGTTTGACTACATTCAGGCCAAACCAAATTTGTAAAGGTTTTACACCCTGTATTTGCATATACACACAAGAGTCAATGCCGCTTCCAGATATGAACCTTGGACAACTTCTATGACACCAAAACGAAATGGTGCTAAGTACAATTTTGGTTCAGAATGTGTGTACATTAAATACATAGGCACCATGGGCCAAGATGCAACGCACTTCTAAATGGAGATCTTGAATACAGTAGGAATGGAAGAAGATTGTGACCAAAATAATCGTACATTCCCACAAAACTAATCTTCGTAGCTGACCCTTCAATTCAATGGTGACAATTATCATTTGTCTCCACATGCTGACTGATGAACAAATTACCTAATTATAATAATCTTAAAGAAAACATTTTGAACAATTCCTAAGTAACAAAGCAAAGCAATCTCCTTCTGTAACAAATAAAGTACAAATGCCAAATATACTTACATCAACTCTGAAGTCTTCAAGTCGTTTGAACTTACTAAGGTATTCTTGCAGTTTGGGATCAACTGGTAAATTCTTTGTTTGAGTGTACTTGAGAAAAGCCCAGAATTTTTCTAATCCGTACAGTTGGCCTGAAAATGAAGCCCTCAAAAGTCAGTATTTCCGAACTAAAATGACTCATAGTACAAGATTACTGTAATTTCTTTACAGGAACTGAAGGCCGAATAATTTTCATGCCTTCAATTAATCTTCTACTCTTACCATATGCATTTGTGAAATGGTTTCTAAAAGTAATGAATTTCCCCTGTAACGTAACTACAGACTATATATAGAAAGCTGGTATTTATTATTTTGAAACGACAGTTACCTGCTTCATAGTCTTTTACAGTTTCTTCTTGGAAGTCCTTGAATATATCATGTCGAAATCTTCTTTCTAGTCCATAACTGTAAAATCTAAACAGGCACTCCAACCCATACCTGTTAAAAAAAAACAAACACCAAAGTGGAAAAAAAAAGTCAAATATTCTAAACTTAACACGATAAAAAAAAGGCTAGGATAGCAATAGTGTTAATGTTTCAAAACGTTGCTGCATTCATTGACAGTAACTGTTAGAAATCTTAACCTTGTATGAATCAAATAAGTGTATAACACAAGTCAAGTCCTGCATATATTTTTATCTAGTGGGAGCCCATTAAATCACCTTGTGGGGACAAAGTGGAAAAAAAAGGAAAAGCGCGAAATTACACCAGTATTAAGTTTGATCTGTATACTGGAAAGTTCCACAGTAAAATCACCAGAGATAGAGAAGCAAATAATTTTTCAGATGAGATTCAAAATACTTATTAGTAACTTCTGCATATCTTTTGCAGAATGAAAGTCAGTGTTATATTTGCATTGCTTTGATTTTCAATCTGAATGTTTTAAATTTCTCTAGACACAGATTGTATTAGTTATCTCTAGTTTTACCATCCTTCTCCAGAGGAACACTGAGGGAGAAAGTATTATGTGTTATCTCTCGCTTTCTAACAGAGACACCTCAAAGAAGAAAGACCAATGTTTTTTGAGCCTGATGTGTAATACCTTTGATGTATAGGCACTGTTACGATGTAGAAAACAGAGCACCCAATTTGCACTCAGCAAAATCAAACAAACAGCAATTGATAACGTGTACTGAAGATGTAGAGTGAGGAATAAAAGTAAAGCCATTTTTAACATTCATTTACAGATGGTTTAACAGCTCATCTGAAAGCCAGAACATCTTAGACTGCGCAGATCTTCTCACTAACAAAATAGGAGTAGGCTGTTTAAGCTGTTCAAGCCTGCTCCACCATGCAATATGGTCATGCTAATCATCCACTTTTTCCCCCCATATCTTTTGATCCCTTTAGCCCAAAGAACTATATCCAATTCCTCCTTGAAAGGATTTATTGTTTTGGCCTCAACTGCTTTCCGTGGCAGAGATTCCACAGGCTTACCACTCTCTGGGTAAAAAAAATTCATCTCAGTTATAAATGGTCTGTCTCATATCTTTAAACTGTGGCCCTTTGTCTCAACTCCCTGGTCATTGGAAATGTCCTTCCTGCATTTACACTGTCCAATCCCATTTGAATTTTATAAATTTCCAAGATCAGCCCTCATTCTTCTAAAGTTCAGTGAATATTGTCCTAACTAATCCAGTCTTGCCATCCCGTGAATCAGCCTGGTAAACCTTTGTTGCTCCATAGCCAGAAAATCCATCCTCAGCTGAGGCAGACCAAAACGGCACACGATACTCCAGATGTGGTCTCACCCCAGTCAGTGGCCAGTTCAATCATCAGAGCGCTCAACTAGAAGAGGCCAGAGCAGATGCAAAGCAGATTACAAGGGCTTGAGCGGATATACAGCAGATTTTAGGAGATATTGCCAGGAAGGTCGTCTTGGTTGTACCTGCCTGCTAACTGTATTCTTTTTACAAGACTCATGCCTATTTTAAAAATATTCTGACTGCTGTTCATAAAACCAAAGTGAATAACATCACACGTTCCCCTCTCCTCTCCCAGCTCGTTGCCAACTCACTTAATCTACCTACTTCTCTGCAGCCTGTCTCCTTCTCACAGCTTGTGTTTCCATCTAAATTTGTACAGTGAACAAACACATTACTTTTGAGTTCCATTTCTTCATTCTCCACAAGGATTTCTCCTGTTCCTATCTCTAAGGGATGATTTATTTTAGATACTCTCTTCCCTTACACTTTTGGCCAATTTACTTTCATTCTTCTCCACCCATTTATCAAGTAATTTTTTAGCTTCCCTTAGGTGGCTGCAAAAACATTCCCAATTTATATTTTGTAATGCCAAAAATCTTTTTTTTAAAAAAATCAAATACAACCCTCAACTTTCTAAGTTAGCCAGGATGGATCTTGCTTGCTAATTCCACCTGCCTGCAGTGAAATGCATTTTGCTGAAAATTTTACATGACTTTAAGCAATGTACATTTGTTGTTTATTTGTCCTACCTTTACTCTATTTACTCAATCAACCGCAACCAGCCCCCTTCTCACATTTATGTAATTAGCATTATTTACGTCTATGAATGATATACAGCAACTGGGAGCTTGGGACAGACAAGGAGTGGACAATATTACAGGCATTTCTCCTATAACACAATATAGTCACGTTCTTGTGTGACCTTGCGCTATAGAAAATTGCATTATAGGGAAATTGCTATACTGTACTGCAGAAAGTTTGCATTATCCAATCAGCATCCAGTATTCAATCATGTTACTGCCAATTCATGTTAACAAAAAACGTGTTATAGCAGAAATACCTTAGCGTTTAATAGAACTCCCAACATTTATTAAATATATGCAAAATCTTGACAGAGGACTTCACTTATACCTTCATCCTTCAGGCACCAGTCCCATGAAAACAGACATTGTGACACAGTTGTATATGCATATGCTCAGGAGCTATTGTTATTTCTGCAGTTAACCTTTTACTCTAACAACTAAATTTAAAATTCTTTGGGTTGGAGTATGTTGCTTTCAAACTTAATATTGAATTTATTTGCAAGGAAAATTTGAGCAGGTTGGACTTATACTCACTGAAGTTGAGAAGAAATGGCAGGTGATCTTATTGAAACAAGAGATTGAGGGCCAAAGTACTGTAGATGCTGAGACAAATAATGTTTCCTCTCATGGAGGAAATCTAGAGCCAGGAAGCACGGTTTAAAAGCAAGAGGTCCATTTGTGGAGACCAGGAGGAATTTCTTTTGACTTTGGATTTTTCTTTTCCAGCAGGCAATGGAGGCTAGGGTCATCGAATGCATTCAAGGCTGAATGGACAGATTTTTGACAGACGAGGGAATGAAGGATCATTATAGGAACAGACAGGATAGCAGAGTTAAAACCACAACCAGACCAACCACAATTTTTTGAATACTGTGTTATGAGCCCAGTTGATATGATTATCAGATAAAGTCAGATCCTGGACAGGAACCTGGCTTGATATAACAAAGTGGTCTCTAACCGAAACGTAAGGAGGTAGTGCTGCAGCTTTTGCTTCAACAATAAAACAGAATTTTATTGAAACAAGAAACAAGAGAATAAACCACACCATCTAATTATAATACAAATTCAAAGATTTGTAAACATTAAATGTATAAACACGATACACTCCTTTGCACTCACATTGGAGTCCCAATATTGAGCACCTCGGTAGGTTTAAGTCATTTGTGACTCCTACTTTTAGACTGGTACGACAGATAGCTTCCTTCTGGAGCCGTCATACACCTGCTTAAATGTACTCAGTTTGAAGTAACCTCTTCAGAGTTTTATCCTAGTCTCGGACTGACACTAACTCCTCACTCAAAGGTGACAT